CCATCCATAAAGTCAAACTGCTTCAAGATTCGTTTTGCTCAAAAAACCTGAAGATCAAAACAAAAGAAACTGCTTCCAAATATGTTTTTGCGATGAAGCTACACAGAAAGTGTTTTTCCAAATATAAAGTGTCTTCCTCTTTGAACTCCTCTTTGTACCTTTTGCCCTTCATAGTTAACGAGAAGCTGTATATACAAAAAAAAAATGATTTTTTTACTGTTTCAAAACATTACAACTGTATAAACTAGTTATTTACCAATTAAAAATAGCATACCGTAGGATATACGACGCGGGTGAACAAAGAGGGTTGTCCTTTGGGACGGCTAATCTGTCGGATTATTTTTCCGAAGCCATCCTTTCCCCATTTACGCCCGGCGGAGTTTTGCACCTTCCAATAGTGAATTCCCTCCGGCGTAGTTCCGTAGCCGTACACTATGAATAAGTGGTCGTCGATCTTTAAGCTACCTTTGTTAGGGCCTGGGTAGATTCCGTCCTATTTCACAAAACAAAAAAGTTAATATAATAATCTTATGGAAAAGGCTTAAAACATATCTAAAAGAAAAAAGATATACTAACCCCCTCGAAGTCTGAAAATTCTTCATAAACATTTATACCCACAGCCACTGGACCGGTTTTGAGCAAATGCATGATTTCTGTTTCGTCTACCACTTTCTTAATGGTCAGATCATGAACTTTAAACCGACCTACACGCTGCAAAAGAAATTGTAATTATCATTTTAAACCAAATTAAATGCCACTACAAAACAATTAACAAGTAATTAAATACACAAAGAACCAACACATATTTGATTATTACCTTTGCGCTCTTTTTCTCAGTGCACATAATAGGATTGGGTTTAGAACGATCTTCCTTAAGTTGTAGAGCTAGTTGGGGACACTTGCAATCATCCTCCAAGATTGTTCCATGCTCGATCATAAACGCGCGTAAGTGGCCTAGCCTTTTAAGTCCGCCCTCGGAGTCGACTTCCTCGATAAGACCCACTAACAAATGCAACGCGGATAGACGCAGTGGAGGATCAAATCTCTCAGCAACTATAAGACGTCCAGATAATTCCCTAGATGCTGCCACTGTCCAACAAACACCTTCAAATACAAATGACCAAATTAGAATTATATAGATTGATTTATCCCATACATAAAAATAATGCATAACCATTCCATACATATTTAAACAACACAATATAAATGTATGAATAATCAAAACTCAATGAATACACAGTAAAAAGAAAAGGGAATGATTTCAATCCATCTCATGTATATATTGCTATAAATTATAAGAAACATGATGTTTATGTTACAAATCTGTATTTAGTCCATAACAAAAGAAAAAAACATATGTAGTCAACACAAAACCATACCGGTTTGGTGTCTAATTTTGTTTGATTTCTCTAAATCAAACAAATAGGGTTTAGACCATCCAATTTTACTTGTTCTTTGTTCCAGAGAACCATATTAAACCAAAATCGACTAAAGACTTTGGTTGGTTTAAAACAAAAAGCAAAACAACCATTTCAAATTGAACTGCATCATAAACCGAGATATCCAAAACAAACCGGAAACTGGATTTGGCACCTCATTAAAATTAAAATTACCCAACTCTAAATATTTTTTCTTGAAATAAAGCAAACTAAACCACACAATATTTAACATTTCATTTAATAATCACTGAATTTAAATCATAAGCTTTTTTTACTTACGTCTGTTTCCTTGATCCATCACTTCTCTCATGACCCCTCCCTGAACAGTCCACTCGAAATCAGGTTTTTTAGTTCCTGGTGGGAGATCCTATTCATAGGATAAGCTTTAATTAGCAATCAAACCAAATTAGACACCAAACCAAATTAAACCAAATTATTCATAGAAAACATATGTAGTCAAAATTTAGATCTATTAAAGTTGCTTTTTAAAAATTTAAAAAAAAAAAAACATATGTAGTCAACACAAAACCAAACCGGTTCCTGGTTTAATCCCAAAAATGAAACCCAATAGGGAAATTGCTAAATCTATGTACTAAACAATTAATAAATTGGGTTTCATTTTGCCGAACAAAAACAAAGTTTAATGCAATTTCATTCAACAAAACAAAGTAATATGGAGAACAGATACTTAACTGTAGGGTATTTCTCGTCAGATTTCGTCAACTGTAGTGTCAAAAATCCAAAACAAATGATTGGTAAATGAATAAATTAACGTAATAACAAATCATTTTCTCCAAATAAATTAGACATCAGATTACCGGCGCC